GGGGGTCCGGTCCCGCCACCACCGCCGCGTTTCCCCCTAACTTCGCTCCAGGCCTCGGGCTGCAATAGCAGGGAAAAGGCAGCGGCGCGGACGTGCGGATGGGAGGAGATGAGCAGCTCTGCCGCAGTGTTTCACGGACTCCCCCGAGAGCAGCTTCCATTTTTAGCTCCTTCCCGGTGAAATCCCCCCTTTCCTTCCAGCTCGCGCTCACCGGAGCTGCTTTTCCCGTGGCCTGTTGCTCTTTAGCCCTTTGGCAAACGGCACCCGCCACCCCCGGAGCGGGCAGGATCCTGCGGAAGGTGCTGCTGCCTCTCGCCCCCTCCTTGCTGCCTCCAGAGCCGTTTCCAAACAAAACGGCCGGCTCTGGCATGCAGGGACAGCCCCCGTGTCCTTGGTGGGTGCCCATCGCAAGAGCGCCCCAGGGTGGGCAGCAATCCGGGGGCGATGCATTGGAGTACGGCAGGAGGATGCGGATGCGGTGGGAAGGGGCCCGGTGGCGGCGTTGGGAAGTCGCTCCGGGTTTAACGAGAGCTGCAAATAAAGCAGCGGCAGGGAGAGCTTGGAAACGTGTTTGTTTTGCAGGAATTCAGCCTGAAAACAAATCCTCTGCTCTATTTGGTAGCTGGTTGAGTTCCCAAAACGCCCCGAGGTTTTGCCCGCGGCCCGTCCCGGGCTCAGCCTCCCCCGCGCTCCGGCGTTCCCGGTGCTCCGGCCTTTCCCGCGAGCTGCTGCTCTCCGGGATCGGCAGCGGCCATGGGAGCCGGGAGCTCTGCTCCGGCTGCGCCCTCCGCTCCCGCATCCCGGCCGCCGCCCTCCGCGCGCTGCCGGATCCCTCCCCTGAGCGGGGGACGATTTGGTTTTAAAAGCTATTGCTAAAAAATCTCCTTCCTTAACCGCCGCAGAGCATTTAAATGAGGATGTGTAGACTGGAGGCTGCAAATAAATGAAGTGTAAAAGGGGGATGTTATCTCCGACGCACACGGATCAGCCCCGCTTTGCTGCCGGGTGCTTTGGTTCCCGTCACTAAACGCTCGTTTTCGGCCCCATCCCGCAGGACGGTGCTGGGAGGCGTCGGGCTCTTTCCCGCATCTCCTTCCTTGGGAATCCCTGCGGGGCTGGGATGCGAGGCCATTCCGCGCGCGGGCAGCACCGAGACCCCGTCGGCGCCGTCTCCTCGAGTGGGTTTTGAAAGCGCCTTTGAAAGCGGAGCAATCCTGAAGCGTTGATAAAATATAAACAAATCTGATAGGAATAATTAGGTTGTGTTTCCGTAGAAATCCTGGAGCCGGCTCCAAAGCCGGCGCCTCTGGGGAATCCAGTCCAGGGAATCTGGTGGATGCTGGAGCTGCAGCGCGGAAGGAGCCAGCGCTGCCGGGGCTGGAGCTGTGGTCGGGGTCGGATCAGCCCTTCTGCCTTCCAGGGAAGCAGGAGAAGGAGCTGGAGCCACGAGGAGCCGGAGCAAAGGCACCGTGATCCGGCCGCTCCCGCTGCTCCCTGCCCGGGAATCCCGACAAGCAGTGCTCCATGCAGCCCTTATCCCAGGAATCCCGACACGCGGTGCTCCATGCAGGCCTTATCCCAGGAATCCCGATACATGGTGCTCCATGCAGGTCTTCTGCTGGGAATCCCGGCATGCAGTGCTCTGTGCAGGGCTTATCCCGGGAATCCCAACACGCGGTGCTCCGTGCAGGCCTTGTCCCAGGAATCCCCATAGGCAATGCTCCCTGCAGGCTTTCTCCCGGGAATCCCGACACGCGGTGCTCCATGCACTTCTTCTCCTGGGAATCCCAGCACGCAGTGCTCTGTGCAGGGCCTATCCCGCGAATCCCGACACGCAATACTCCATGCAGGCCTTATCCCAGGAATCCCAACATGTGGTGCTACGTGCAGACCTTCTCCCAGGAATACCGACACGCGGTGCTCCATGCAGGCCTTATCCCAGGAATCCCGGCACGTGGTGCTCTATGCAGGCCTTATCCTGGGAATCCCAACACACAGTGCTCCATGCAGGCCTTATCCCAGGAATCCCGGCACGTGGTGCTCTATGCAGGCCTTATCCTGGGAATCCCAACACACAGTGCTCCATGCAGGCCTTATCCCAGGAATCCCGGCACGTGGTGCTCTATGCAGGCCTTATCCTGGGAATCTGGACACATGGTGCTCTGTGCAGGGCTTATCCCAGAAATCCCGGCACGCAGTGCTCTATGCGGGCCTCCTCCTGGGAATCCCGACACGTGGTGCTCCATGCAGGCCTTATCCCAGGAATCCCGATACGCGGTGCTCCATGCAGGCCTTATCCTAGGAATCCCAACACGCAGTGCTCCGTGCAGGCCTTGTCCCAGGAATCCCGACACGTGGTGCTCTGCGCAGGCCTTTTCCTGGGAATCCTGACACACGGTGCTCCATGCAGGCCTTTGCCGGCAGTAGGGTGTTTTACATGGACACCTCTGCTTCTCTTAGCAGGGAGGTAACTTGGAACAGTTGGAAAACGTATCCCGACGCAAAAGGCCGTGATGGGTTTTCTCGCTCCCAGCCATGGCAAAGTGCCAGGAGCCCTGGGGCTTTCCCGTCACTCAGGCGGCCGCGGCGGAGCTGAGTTCGGATACGCGCTCGTCCCTAGCGCTCACTCTGTATTTAAAGCCCAGGAACTTGATGTGTCCCATTTTCCTGCCTGGCTTAAAGGTAGTCGTGGGGGCTGCCCCCGTGC